AAATTCCCTTTTGTACCGTTTTATCAAACCAATCAAGGTACTGATGTCTGACGTGTTTCATAAATCGAATTTATCAGCGAATGGAGAGAAATGCAAATACACATAAAAAAACATTTATTAGGCTCATTTATGGCCATAGTTATTCCGAATTCAAAAATAACTTAGGAATGAACGGAATCCAACAAAAAAGTATCATGAACGACCTAAATTTAAACAATAGAACAACGAATCAACACTGCATGACTAAACTCAGTTAATCATCTGCCATCCGAAGGTTAGGATTCGCCAGAAGGTCGGAAAACGGATCAGACTGGACCCGCCATTCGCCAAGTCGTGAAAAAACAACAATGATAGTCAAAATGGCGAGAAATACAAGTAACAAATACAAATAGATCCTCTTACAACGCACAGAACTTCTCGTAATCGTAGGTCGAGACCTAAAGCTAATTAGTATTAAGCTCAAAGTAATAAGTAGCAGGCTAAAAAGGTTTTATTTAAAAGTATATCATTCAATAATTCAAGTAACATCAGGTTCCACTACCTACGTTTAACTTGTGCTCCGAAGCAAAACGTAGAGACAATGTTTATAGGCAGCGAATAGATTCTGTATGTGTTTCACTTCGATCACGAGGAGTGACGGTCTGCTTAAAAATGCAGTTCTCATTTGAAAGTTTCCTCAGTACTTCTCAACTGCATTCAGCCGATTTAAATAAAATACAGAAAGAAAGTTTACAATGAGGCGATCCGTTCTACTAGATGTTGACATAGCCACTTCATGTGGGTGGCGGGAACTGCCTGACCATCTTCATCTAGGCCATCGGAACTCTCATTCGATTTATTCCATCCGCAGAAGGTGTACACTTCTCGAAGTGGCGTAAAATTCCTGGCGAAGTACACTGGAGTTCCTCCTCGCTTGGACCTATGTGAAACCGTATACCTATAAATTTTTATTTCGCTGCTGGGTTTTGAAACCATCTATTTTCCTGTTCACAAGATTCACAGAAATATTTCCACTGTGGTAATAGTGCTTACATTCACTGGGCTGAAGATAACCTAATGAATAAGTACTGCATTCGCAGTCTTAAGATCGTGAGATGGACTCCTCACTAAATCCTTTAAGCAAATAACTATTACAACCTAATGGGAAGGATGTAAACCAATAAAAACTGCCTTGTCACACTGTGTTAAACATTAACTTCCTAAACAGTGCTGCTTCATGATAATCACGACAGAAACTACGCCTAACGTGAAACTGTAAGAAAGGCGGATATTTCAGCGTTATAAACTTCCTCCATCTATCTTTCCGGAAAATTTCGTACTATTAACCTACTTCAATTTGATTTTTTTACAGCAGCACCGAGATGAAAGATTTTAGTCTGTCGTCTAATGCAGTTCCGGCAGTAGGCCACAACCTACACGTTCCATGCCTCGTTATATAGCATTCAGTGTTCTCCAATGAGTACTGTTTAAGGTCAAGACCACACCGGTGAGTGAGCATGAGCACCTTTAATTATTTTCCCCTCGTTTGAATGAAAAACTTACCCCGCAAGTTACAACTAGAAATGACACATTCACTGAAAAACATTTTTTCTCACGAGTACGATGTGACTTCATTCAAATTACACCCGACACAACGGTTTTGATGCAGAACCAAAATTTCGGCTGATATTACCAGTCTTTGTCAACTGCAGGTAATATATTATACAGAGCTACTCCAATGCAAGATAGTCAACCTGTAATAACAACTGCCATTTACTCTTTGTTTGAAACTTACAGGCTTCGCCATGACGGACGGATATTCATCACTATTCATTCTATTCTTCTGTTCATCACATTCGGTGTGGACTGGATTAAGCGTGCTTCAGCAACTAATGGCTGTTTGTAATTGCCAACCCTCGTTACTCTGATTGGGCAGTTAAAGTCGACGCTGTGTCTGGTGAAAATTTGGTGAAGAAGGGAGGCTGAACATTTGTTAAGGAGTCGTTTTCCTTCGATTCATGAAGATACCTGCTCACTTGTGTGTTCTACGATCACTGGTGTCATCTTCTGGCGGTTTTACCCATGTCGCTCATTTGTCACTGCATGCAATTTATTGAGTAATTTACATGTTTTACGTATCTAGCAATTTTTGTAAATTTCTTATTATTTTTTAATCATGTTGTACCATATGAACTTAAATTTAGAGGTGATTAACTTTACGTGATTCTTTACCTAACAGGAACTTAGTAGAATCAGCCTCAGGAAATACCAGGATTCAAGTTCACTTCCCTTGACATGTGCCTGTTTCTGTGTCGGTTATGAACATGTGGGTATAGCCTACGAAAACGGGACTATGAATCAAAGAAACCAATTTCTTGCGACACCTGCCACTTTTATAAACACCGTCGTTACGTTTAAAGCCGAGATATTCGGTGAAAGCTTATGACTTAGTTGTTGGCTTCAAACTGGCACTCACACAAGAGAGGTGTTTCCTAAAGCCTTCAATCAATTTTCTGAATTGCAAAGAGCTTCATATAAACCGGCAGTGAAAGTTTTAACAGATATTTATACATCTGATCGACAACTCTCTCGACTTTGATTTTGATACTGATAACCGCTCTGAAGTTCTTATAAGGATTCGGCAAATTAAAACATTTGAAATGTCAGAACTATGAAGTACGATCCATTAACATCACGTGTAAACGATGAACGCATATAATAAACCTGAATGTCTTTTATAACAATCTGTCGCAACCCTGACCTTCGTTTTTAAAATCTCAATTACATTCCATGAAATAAAACATCCGTGGTATGAATATCATTTCCTGTCAAACCCTACATCAAGGATTAGGGAGGTGAATTACTCTTTTTAAAATCCTGGCTACATCTACCAGGATCGCGTTCTACAGTTCAACCGGTTTGATAGTTTCATCAGTTGACTTCAGTAGATGCTGATGGTCTCTTTACACGCGTTCGAACGAATATAGGAACGACTTTTGTCTTCACACTCCAAATCTTTCATATTTTCGTCCCTACTTCTAGATATTTCAATATCTCCTCTCCCCTTGACAACAACGTTACAGTCAGCCAGAAGGCTATAACAATGATTTGTGTTCGCACTTTCGCCTTATCCGGATGCTGGATCGATATTTCTTTCGCAAGTCACGTATACTATCCCTTGCTCAATCTCCTTCGCAGCTCTAGGCTGACGTCTCTACCACTGCTTTGCCCGAATGCCTTGTTATGCATTTCTCTCTATTCACCATTTCTTCGACGCTGAAGCTGTATTGGTCATGGTCTCTTATTCACTTGGCACATCTAAACTTTGCCTAAAAATGCGTGTGCAGGATCTTCTTTTGCACGAGTTCATGTTGAGTGCTTCGTCTTGGGTCGCTACTAAAAATGCTTCTGTTTCCCCAGGGGTGCACTTCTTGATAGTCAGAAGTTTAGTAGACTTCTATGCCTTTACAAATTTGGCAAAAATCCCGTATGTGAAGCTGTTTATTCTTCAAACCATTGTATCAGGCGCTGTCCACCTTTTTCTGGTGATCTCCTTCATTTCCAGATGTTTTGGATTCTAATTTCCATACGCCGCCACAACCCTGTTTTTCACTGTCGCTGCTATATATCACCGTCATAGGGATGACGTCTGTAATTCCAGTGTATCTTTGATACTACGAAACCCTCGTCATCCTTTTTTGCGTGGGACTTATCATCTGTCCATATCTGCTTTCGCATGTACAGTCCCGTATATGTTCAAGATCATTTTTGTCTTTCCAACGAGCTGTATCCATTTGCCTTGAGTCTACTCGACGATGCCTTCTGCATAGACAAGCAATGGTACATCGTACTTGCCAATGTTCGCAATTTTGTTCTTCTCGCATGATTTGTTGTTCATTTTATCGTGTAACGTATTGCCAAGTATATGGTGTTTACTGTTTGTTACCCACCATTCATTTTTTTGAAAAATTAATTTGTCGCTTATTTGATCAATTCTAATATCAATGTACAATATCAGTTCCAACAAGTACTTTTACTACAATACTTTCACCTTAACTTATTTCACTATTTGTATTAACTTTTACTTTGGCAGAACCATTTAACATTCTAACCCGAAATGGGCTTATGACGATAAAAGTTAAAACAGGTCTATATTTCACACAGTGATACAACATTTTTAAAATTGCTAAAGAAATCTATTTCCATCAAAATAAGAATTATATTGTTAGCCATGGAATTAATTATAAATTTGATAAATGCATCATTTATCATATGCACAAACATCGATATTGCTTATCCATCGATACCGGTACCTTATATTGTAGTTTCAAACACTGAAACCTAGGAAACGTCTCAAACTGAGAAATGAAATTAATTTGATCAAAAGTAACATTTAGTTCACTCATCTTACTGTTCAAAAGAAAAACACGAGGAACACGATGAGAAGCATTTGTCACCTAAGCCATCTCTGGAGCCACTCGAACGGCGGCCTCCGTTTGTACTTGTTCACCGGATCACTATCCCGTCGATGCAATGGTGGCTTCAAGAGCGAGTCTGTATCGGCACCACTGGCCTGAAAAGACTTGCGATCTGAAAACGAATAAATTCGTTATGACTTCCTGTTCGTAACAATCCGTCGACATAACGTACTGGCGGCGAACGACTGTTCTTGTTCATCATCTGCGTGCTTCCCGGCGTCAATCGATACCACCGTGTCCCTGGCATGCAATGACATATCAGAATTGTTCCGGTCAATTACAGAAGGAGAAACGGAGGTGTTACGCTGCTTCTGGTGCACCATACTAATCGAATTCGGACGGTCTTGTTCCGAAAGCTATAAGACGTGAAGCACTGATATTTATGCATTAATTAATACTAGTATAACTTAGAGTAAAAGTTACAACAGTAACTGTGGTTTATTATTAACTTGAAACGAATACAACGGATTGGCAATTAGCGAATACTTACCGCAGTCAGACTGAGGCCGGCACGAGCCCATTTGGTGGTGCTCAGTTTTTGTTTGAGCGCATCGACGATCGGTGACTGTTGGTTCGGTTTTGGAAATACAGCAAAGTAACAAATCGGACACTGGTATCCGGCAGGGGCGGTATTGCTCGGTAGC